CTACAATAAAACTTGATACCTTTATCTACAATAAAACTTGATACCTTCATCTACAATAAAACTTGATACCTTCATCTACAATAAAACTTGATACCTTCATCTACAATAAAACTTGATACCTTCATCTACAATAAAACTTGGCACCTTCATCTACAATAAAACTTGATACCTTCATCTACAATAAAACTTGGCACCTTCATCTACAATTAAACTTGATACCTTCATCTACAATAAAACTTGACACCTTCATCATAAAATTTGGTGGCTCAATGAAATTGGTGGCTTCATTGACAATAAAATTTGGTGGCTTCATTGACATTAAAATTTGGTGACTTCATCGACAATAAAATTTGTGACTTCATTGACAATAAAATTTGGTGGCTTCATTGACAATAAAATTTGGTGACTTCATCGACAATAAAATTTTTGACTTCATTGACAATAAAATTTGGTGACTTCATCGACAATAAAATTTGGTGGCTTCATTGACAATAAAATTTGGTGGCTTCATTGACAATAAAATTTGGTGACTTCATGGACAATAAAATTTGGTGGCTTCATTGACAGTAAAATTTGGTGACTTCATGGACAATAAAATTTAGTGGCTTCATTGACAATAAAATTTGGTGACTTCATGGACAATAAAATTTGGTGGCTTCATTGACAATAAAATTTGGTGACTTCATGGACAATAAAATTTGGTGGCTTCATGGACAATAAAATTTGGTGACTTCATGGACAATAAAATTTAGTGGCTTCATGGACAATAAAATTTAGTGGCTTCATGGACAATAAAATTTAGTGGCTTCATGGACAATAAAATTGTCCACCTTTATAAATAGTAAAACTTGACATCTTCATCTACAATAATACTTGGTACCTTCATCTACAATAAAACTTGATACCTTCATCTACAATAAAACTTGGTACCTTCATCTACAATAAAACTTGATACCTTCATCTACAATAAAATTGGTACCTTCATCTACAATAAAACTTGATACCTTCATCTACAATAAAACTTGATACCTTCATCTACAATAATACTTGGTACCTTCATCTACAATAAAACTTGGTACCTTCATCTACAGTAAAACTTGGCTTGTACAAACATGAGCATTACAGGGCCACAGAAAATGCATTTAATTTGACAGTATATGGAAATCGACCAAATGGACCAAATATTCATGTTACATTTAATTCACATGTAATTTGACCATCGACTGATTGACTTATTGATTGGAGTTAAAAGGGAAACTATACACATGAAGATATAAATTTATACTAATGGACAATCCAAAACAATTTTATGTAACAAAATTGTGCTGATTAAAGTGATTGTAAAGAGGTTTTTTTGTGGACACCGTTAGCACGTCTGTAGTTCCTACAGATCCAATAAAACTATCGCCTTATATAATGTAAGCAGGCACAAAAAAGTTTGGAAAACATCTTTACAATCTCTACAACTGAATTTATTTCTATACATAATGTTCTGGAATACCGATGTGACGATTCCGAACTAAAATCAAAGGTTAGTTTTAAGGGATATACAGACAATGCTATCTAGAAAATATGTTCCGGTAATTGTAGTATTCCCATCTAAATTCTCGTTGTACACAATTCATTTTATACTTCCAATTAATATATATATATAAAAGCTATAACCTTACCGCAGCAGCCATTGAAGAATTTGGTTTTGCAAGAAATTTCCATAAACCAAAACGGAATTTGTTCCAAGAATTTTGTAACTCTATGGGAAATATTGGAATTGGTTTCCCCGACTCCCCTACTTCACGCATGTCAGCTCCAATTCGACTGTCTTGCTTTACTCTATACATAATTTTCCAACAACAATCCGCAATGTTTTCGACCTTAATTCCCCAATAATCCATTTCCAGTTTTAAGGCGTTACCGCACATATTTCTGGGCAAATGAAGCTCATTGCTTCTGTACATATTCAAAATGGGTCTAAACACTTCTGGATCTCTGTCAAAATAGTATTCGTCTGATTCCGAGTCATATTCTTCGACCTCAGGATTGAGATCTGAAAGTCTGGTGTGTGGAATTCGTTGCAACGTTTCGGCTCTGGTCACAAATACATGACCTCCAATGTTTAATTTCACTTTTTTGCTCATGGCTCACCAAAGCGACATCAAAACTCGCTCTCTGATCTTCATTTCAAAATCCTCTTTAAAAAAATAATAAATCTGCTTTAAAATCCTAATATGTACGCTTCAAGTGACAATTCTCTGTTCTTAAATTTCTACCGTGTTAAACTGGTCCTTCTATTTCCGAAGCTAGTTGTTTATGGGCCTAGGAACAGTGAAACAACAAATAACATCCAATAAAATCCAAATACGACGTACTTGAAATTATAATCGATATAAGTTTCTCTAACGTTCAATAAACCAACAGAAAGAGTCGCCTCTGAAAACTGAATAGATACGCTCTTTACTATCACTGCGTGAACGACATCCGCCGAGAGCTGGAAAACGTTTTAGAAACAATTTATCACCCATTGTCTGTAACGATGAATTATTTAAACACGTTATTTACAACATGATATAATATTCTTGAGTTTTCTTTCAGGTACAATTTCACCTTTATGGCTGATTTCCAAAACACTGCGCATTAGAATATTTTGTTTCACTTTTTTCTGTATATTTTTCTATTAATGTACCGTGCTGTACGTCTCAGTGCACTTTTTAATGTGATATTGGCCCCCATGGAAGTTATACTTGTATAATAAAAATCAATGCAAAGAAGCGGATACGATCTCCATAAACTTTTCTATCTAAATAAGCATAATCAATGGTCTCGTGGCTTATAGAATCTTGTACTTGGGATTATTTTTGTCCAACTTTTAACATAGTTATTTTAACAATATTACAGTTAAAAAGATGACTTTTCGAACAGGCCCTCTGTATAACAAAGCTAAGGGTATATTATACTGTGGTATTTCGAGAACACAATGGGGATTAGTAGAATAGGGAAACAAATGCCAGAAAATGAAAAAAATATTTTTCCACGTGGTATAATTGACAGTATTTCTTTCTAGGGGAATTGAATAATAATTATGTATAATAAATTATATATAGGTATGTTGGTAATATCATATTTTGTTCCAAATATCAAAGTTTGTTTCAAAACATTTTCACGAGGTTAAAATGATACTCCGTCTAATACCTAGACATCATAATTCACTTCAAATTGCCTCTTTATAGACACACAATGAAAAAAGAGACGAACGTTATATTTTAAAGGCTATAGTAGATACTGTTTCTATCAGGGGAATTTAATATTAATGTATAATAAATGACATATTGTTTGCTGGTAATATCATGTTTTGCTACAGATATCAAAATTGTGTCAAACCATCTTCACAATGTCTAATACCTTGACATCACACAGAAGTTTTAGATCATTTAATTGTAGCGATTTGATTGGATTGTACGCTAGAGAATACAGCCAATCACAGCTCTCGACATAAAGACTGTAAACAAGTATATCACTATATCATTAGAAGTCTTTCTGTAGATCCTTTGACAATGTGAAGATGTTGTGCTTTGAAAAGCATTACAAATAATCCATGAAACGTCATTGTACAACGAAGTTCTTATACTTGTAGAATTAGTCCTCTCCTTTCTTCCTTGAAATCTTGAGAGAATTGGTATTATTTCCATGACTTATCGTATGGATTTTATTCATAGAAAAGTATCACGGCCATTTCTTCCTTTGATCAGATACACATACAAATAGTGATATAATCTAGATGTCTGATTACCAAGTCTAATTTCAGTCTTAGAATCTGGAGAAACTATTACGAACTCCATCTAATACCTTGACATTATTAAGCACTTTTCTTTTATCGAGCTTGCTGTAAATACAGTAATTTGATTGGATTCTACACTTGCAAATACAGCCCAGCAGAGTCATCGACAGAAAGAGTGTAAATAAATAAGCCTTTCTACTGAGTGCTTGCAGCGTTTGCTGGACATTATTATTAAGATTTTAAGTACAAAATGATCGTATTTAAATATATTTTTGGAAGGTTGTTGTCTTGATGGGACTGAAAGATCTTGATAAAAAGCTGAAGAACTTTCCTTCTAGACTGGAACAATAGAAGCGACAAAAAAATATTATTACCAACCAGGGTGAGTAAAATGCGGTGTAATCCTATTGTGATCTAACGATCAAAATTGATATCATTGCAAAAGAATCAGTTTTGTAATACCACTCACAAAACACAGCTTACATTATCTAATCACTAGAAAAGCTACGGCCTACGCAAATAAAACAAAACGTAACCTGTATAAAATGCAAAAGTTTTCCATCATAATTGCTCATAAGCCCACTTCTGTAAACAAAAGGAGTACATAAAAGGAGTTCAAATAGCTTTACATTGTGAGGTTCGTGCGGCCGAATTAGCTTCGCTTCCATGCTGAATAATGCCATTATCATTAATTGATAATTGATATTTTAATGTATTAGCAAGTTGATAACTGCTTACAGACAATTATAACATGAAACAATAAATTGGAAGTTGTTGCTGTTGTTGACGCGATATAAAGCACTTTATTTATTAATTTTATGATGCAATTCTGTCCAGTATTGCAATATGTTTAATGCTTTTTATCGATTACACAACGATTATCGTCGTCGACGCTAGAATATGTATCCGGAAGTTGTTCGGATGGTTGATATAATAGAGCAGCTGTGAGCTACAGAAAATAGAGCAGCTGTGAGCTACAGAAATATGGATCAGTGGACTACAAAAAATAGAGCAGCTATCAACTAGACAAATAGGGCAGTGAACTGCAGAAAAATAGAACAGTAATAAACTACAGAAGCAGAGCAGTTGCCTAATATATAGATAAATAAAGCAGTTGCCTACTATATAGATAAATAAAGCAGTTGCCTACTATATAGATAAATAAAGCAGTTATCAACCACTGAAAAATAAAGCAGTTATCAACCACTGAAAAATAGAGCAGTTGTCAACTACAGAAAAATAGAGCAGTTGTCAACTACAGAAATATAGAGCAGTTGTCAACTACAGAAAACTAGAGCAGTTGTCAACTGTAGAAAAATAACGCAGTAGTCAACTACAGAAAAATAGAGCAGTTGTGAACTACAGGAAATAGAGCAGGAGCGACTACAGAAATATCGAGAAGTTGCCAACTACAGAAATATAGAGCAGTTGTCAACTACACAAATATACAGCAGTTGTCAACTACACAAATATAGAGTAGTTGTCAACTACAGGAAAATAGAGCAGTGAACTACAGAAAAATAGAGCAGTTGTCAGCTATAGACAAATAAAACTGTTGTTAAGTATAGAAATATAGAGCAGTTGTCAACTACAGAAAAATTTCAGCAGTTGTCAACTACAGATAAACAAAGCAGTTGTCAACCACTGAAATATAGATTAGTTGTCAAATATAGTCATATAGAAGTTGCCAATTACAGCAATTTTCAACTACAAAAAAATAGAGTAGTTCTCGACTACAAAAGATAGAGCAGTTCTCAATTATAGCAATTGTAACAGTTGCCTTCATACGATATAAAGTACTGGATATTCATTTCTCTAAAGACACAATGTATATGGTTATTCTAATTATGCCATATGTTAGAAACAGTATATCCATATAACAGTGTAAACAATACGAATATATTGTTACTGTTAAAATAGTGCCCTCTACATCAATTGTAGAGCGATTAAGAAATATTATCACAGAACCTGAAACATGTTTCCTAGACAACTGATCAATTCCAACAGAAATTGTATATTCATATATCTTGTGTTTCTTTATATCATTTCGTGTACTACATGATAGTGGGTTCTATAATAACGAGAAATTACATAGATGGTAATTAGTGAAAAGAGTACATTAATATATGTTTACTACTTTTGAGGGCGATTCAGTGGTAACGATTTTCTATAATTTACTTTACATGTTTTCTATAAAGCCCTTATATGTTCGTGCGAATTCTGGTCTTTCCAATCTAAATAAAAGAATGGAGGAAACAATACCTTTTTTATACAAGCATAATAACTTAGGTTGACTGAAGATATTGTCTTTCGTTTTAGTTAATCACATCTCCTTAAGAGAATCCCAAATGGCATAAGCCATTGGATTACAGCCTGGGGATTGTACTTGTACAATTTTTATTCGATGGCTTGGGAGCAGATACCTTTTCGTACACAATAGTCTGGGCGTCAGAGACTAAAAGATGAGCGGCGCCGGTTTGAATCTAAATCGGCCCACTATGTAGGCTATAGCTGTACTAAACGGCGTACTTTAAAACTTGCAACAGGGTACAATTAGTCACTCAGCCACCACCGATCGGCGACTTAAACTGTCATGTTGCTGTCTGCTGCTAGAGTTAGCTGACTATCTTTGCCCTTAACATGTACACCCATCTGCGACTAAACATACCATTAACATGGACGCTGTCATCATGGAATTGACCACGTTACTAACAGAGCTCGGTCCCCTTTCAAGTAGTGAGCCAATTGCTTTCGATGTACATGCAGTAGAAGAGATGGACGAATTGCTGCTCCGCAACCTAACAATAGAAAAACATACATGTATATAGCTAATCAATAAGGACGTAGGTTAATACATCTATTATCATTTTATACTGGTTAATATGGAGCCAAGTATGAACTCTGCCTATTCAAACCCCTACACAAAAATAAGCTGAATTGTCGATCAATAAGAAGTTTAAACGAGCTCACCGTAACATCATTATTTCAAGAGTTTTGTAGTCCTCAAAGTCCATGTTTACTTGCATCGTTTACCTTAAGAGCCTAACAACATTGTTTATTGTCTCTTAAAATAAAATCGTTTGAAACAAACTGTAACTGCCCATTGTTGGTGCGATCATAGAAATTGACCTCTATCTTGTCTATCTTATATCAAAGTGATATACTCATCCAAAACCGTCGTGGTACAGGTCAACTGCATTGTTCACAATTTAAGTCAAAGAGCCATCAGTTTTGAAATCTAGAAACACGTTTCACTGTACAGAATCACATTCATTTTTACTAACAACTATATATACCTGTAACGAAGGATACTGACCAAGGTTGTCTGTTGTTTATCTGATATTTCTTACTAACAACTATATA